TTGCCCTGCATGAACTACTATTTATCTATTTAATTTACATCACACAAAAGGATAAACATAGAATTATCATGGAATAAGTATATCAACATACATGGACTACAATAAAACATAGAATTAGTAACATACGATCTAAAAATAAAATGACAGACGACGTCGTTCTTCTTCTTGGTCACGTTGGTGCCATTGATTGAATTCGTTTGACAATTCATTGATTCGATCTAAAAACGAATCATCGATATTAGCAGGCGTCTGACTATACCCAAATCCCTGAGTGTTAGTGTTCTGTTGTGTTCCCAATCCAAAATCCCCGAAGCTTTTCCATCCTTCATGCTCACCTACACTTTCGTGCTCGTCCTTACACTGTTGCTGTTGGGACTCGATATGTGAATAATATGGCTGGGATAGGGTGGCCTCAGAATCATCATCTCTCTCATTTTTCCTTAGACCCCCTTCCCACTCTCCCTCATTAGGTGCAATATCACCTACATCTCCGACGAATTGTAGATACGTTGGTTGCTTGCTTCCTCTTTCATGCTGCTCATCACCTTATTTAAGATCTTCCTCACCGATAGCCTCAAGGAACGCTCTCTTGTGCAACATTGGCTCCTCCTCTTCTACTACCCATTGGTCTGTTGTGTCTGTGACAAATAATGTGTCTAAGTCTATCGGCCTATAGTGTTCAAGCTTCCTTCTTATTTGTCGCTCTAGGAGGTTTAAGTTATAATGAACGTAGACTAGTTTATGAAGCTTTTCCGAAGCGAGTCGATTCCTCCTAGTAGTGCACAACCATTGGAACGTACTCCAGTTGCGCTCAAAGCCAGTAGCAGAACATGTATGGGAGAGCACCTTGATTGCTATTCTTTTTAGGTGAGATGCATCAGTACCATATACCTCCCACCATTCAGCTGGATTAAATGCAAAAAGCATTGTAAGGGCAAGAACAATTCATAAGATTAAATATATGAATGAATAAAATATTAGCGAGGGGATAACCTGGATCCATCTTAGTTCGAGAATTCCTGGCAAGTCTCCGAAGGATCCTATAGCATCCCTATACATAGCAAGCTAAAACAAATATATTTCGTTTTAGTGCATTATTCCTCACAAATATAACAACTCAATGAAGTTCTTACCCAAACATTAAATAATACCTCTTGTATTGCTGCTACTTGGTTTCGATGGCTTCTCTCCAACCTTACAATAATATATCTTACCCCTTCCATAATCTTGTGAGGATGTTCAGGTGTCAAATAGAAAAATTTTGGGTTGAAGTAGTAACCTAAAAAATATATAGATAGAAAAAGGTCATTTACAATTTCATAAAAAAAGGATTTAAAGTGAAACATTCTAATGATATAAATATATATTTACCAGCATAATGAATTGGACATTCAAATTTGGTGTTCCTCCTCCTTTCTATAATCTCGATCACTTTGCTAGCAAAACTACACTTCTCCCCAATAGCTGATTTCACCCTCTCGATACCTTCATAAATGATGCCCATGGTAGTTTTCTTGTCAGCATCCACCATTCTTAACATCGTGACCAAAGGGGCAGTGGCCTCTACAACACTGGAACATCGAGACCAGAACCTCTTATTTGAGACTATGCCTTCCACTTTTATATTGATACTGGACTTCGAGAGGCAGTCATTTAACCATTTTTCACAAGTAAACAATCTCTTTAATGCACCTTCAGATTCCCGAATGGAGTCCACAGCTAAGTAATCGGTCGCAAAGCAGGTTATGGCAGCCCTGATTATTTATTTATGCAACATTATAGATAAAAATAGCCTATATTAGCCACTACATAAAGAACAATAAATTTACATTGACATAGTATCAATAAAAAATATATTTACAATGGTATAGTAATTCACAAAGCCAATACATATGGACTTGTCACAAATCTTCATTTCGACAAATGTGAATTAGTTCCTACTGAGAAAAAAAAATTATTTATGCAACTTTATAGATAAAAAAAAGTCAGTATAAGTCACACATGCCAAATATTCATACATCTCAATTACAAATATGCAAGATAATATAATAAAAAAAGCAAGCTCCAAACATGCCTACAACTCAATTATCAAGAACATACATTTTTTGCATTAAAAATTTAATAATAAAATTGATAATTGCAAGCTAATATAATTATCATACATGATATTTTACAATGATATTCACTTTAATTCCTCATGATAATGCAGTTTAACAACATGTATTTTTTGCATTAAAAATTTAAAAAATTTAAAATACTTTTTTAATGCAAAACTGCATTAATAATATTATATAGTTTAACAACATGTATTTGTTAACGTATTTTTTTGCATTAACAACAAATTTAAAAATACAATTTTGCATTAAAAAATATAACAACATGCCACGATTTTTTTACAATGATATTCACTTTAATTCGTCATGATAATAAAGTTTAACAACATGTATTTTTTGTATTAAAAATTTTAAAAATTTAAAATACTTTTTTAATGCAAAACTGCATTAAAAATATAATACAGTTCAACAACATGTATTTGTTAATATATTTTTTTGCATTAACAACAACTTGGAAAATACAGTTTTGCATTAAAAATATAATAACATGTATTTTTTTACATAAATAATCTATCAACATGTAATGTTTTGAACTAGAAATTTAACAATAAAAATTAAAAATATTGTTTAATTCCTCAGGATAATCAAAAACAAATTTTCGAAAAATCACGATTTCTCAAAAAATTTGATCATGAATAAAAAAAAATAAAAAAAAAGCAATTCCTCACAGACCAACCTAACATCAGTCATTCCAACTAAAAAATCCACCTCAAATCGAACAAATTACATTAAATTTAATACATGTTTTGATAAACAACACTATAAGGAATCAAAACCCTATAATATTAACATATTATTATCAAAATATTAAATAAAATCGATTGAATTGAGGAAAAAAAAAAAACGCAGTTCTTCACAAACATCAGTCATTCAATCTCAAAAATCAATCTCAAATTGAATAAATCAGATAAAATTGAATACATGAGATGATAAAGAATACTATAACGAATCAAAACCCTATAAATTTAACACATTCTTTGTAAAATATTTACTGCAATTGTGAAAATGGCGGAAAAAAAAAAAAAACAGTCCACTTTTTTTTTAACAGACATCACTCTTATTTTCTATAAAATCCAACTCAAATTGGATAAATATAATCAAAATGAATATATCTAATGATAAACAACACTACAAAGAATCAAAACCCTATAAATTTAATACATGATTTGTAAAATATTGACTAGATTTGATCGCATGGGGAAAAAAAAAAAAACTTAAGTTTTTACCTGTTCTTCGTGCATCCGTGCCTTCAAACTCAAAATTGATATGTATTCCTCCAAGATAATCACAAATTATGAACACAAAATTTTGACCAACACTCTTACAATCACTCAGCTTGAAATTTTACAAACCATGAAGCTTTATTATTTCAATTGAAATTGTGAAAATGGCAGAAAAAAAAAAAAAACAGTCCACTGTTTTGCTAAAATACATCACTCTTATTTTCTATAAAATCCAACTGAAATTGGATAAATATAATCAAATTGAATATATCTAATGATAAACAACACTACAAAGCATCAAAACCCTATAAATTTAATACATGATTTGTAAAATATTGACTGAATTTGATCGCATGGGGAAAAAAAAAAAAACTGAAGTTTTTATCTGTTCTTCGTGCATCCGTGTCTTCAAACTCAAAATTGATATGTATTCCTCCAAGATAATCACAAATTATGAACACAAAATTCTGACCAACACTCTTACAATCACTCAGCCTGAAAATTTACAAACCATGAAGCTTTATTATTTCAATTGAAATCGTAAGAATGGCAGAAAAAAAGAAAAAAAACAGTCTACTGTTTTGTTAAAATACATCACTCTTATTTTCTATAAAATCCAACTGAAATTGGACAAATATAATCAAATTGAATATATCTAATGATAAACAACACTACAAAGCATCAAAACCCTATAAATTTAATACATGATTTGTAAAATATTGACTGGATTTGATCGCATGGGGAAAAAAAAAAAAACCGAGTTTTTATTTGTTCTTTGT